CGAGTACTATTTGTAATCATGTTAAAATTGCAAAATAGATTCAGAACCATAAATGTCAGAAATTTACTAGAAATCCCTGGCTACGTGGCAAGGACAAGTATCGTTTTCCTAAATATCACTTGAAAAAGACCAAAACAATTGGTTACTCTTTATTAATGAGCTTATGAGGATGTTGATTCAAGAAACAATTGGGAAAACTCTAATAATTTAAAGGACATAATGTAAAAGTCTCATTGTGACCACGCGAATAAAGAAGATTGTGACCCAAATTGCCTTGCACCAAACACATATTATTTCCCTTTTATTGGATAAACATTCCTCCCTCATTTTTTTTGCTGCTTAGTTAATTAAATTTAATTGTTTAATGGTGTCTCATGGTAGGGGGGCAAACCATGATGGCTGCAGCCTGTGTTTGATTAATGCAATTTAATGGAAATATACATGGTACCTTGACTTCTGTAATAATGGGGATTAGGTTTGTCTATGATTACAAACTGAAATTTTATCATGCTTGGCTAGGTTAAATTCATTTATTCAACTATATAAATGATTGAAGGAAAAAAAGATCTTTTATTTTCATGGGATTATTTCATTGAGAAAAGATGACACACAGACATTGAGATGTGTGATAGATATGATTTAAAGAGATGTTCTTGATGCATTATCAATTAGAAGCATCAAAGTATGTAGAGCGAAAATAATATGGGTATTTTAGTTGTATTGCAACTTTCAGTAGATATGATAATGAATAGAATATTATGATTAAAAGGAATTAGTGTATATAACTTTAAATTTATTTAAAATGATTGGAGAAAACAATCTTTAATTTCATGGGGCTATTTAATCGAGAAAATATGACGTAGACATTGAGACGTGCGAACAAGTATAATTTAATGAAATTTTCTTGATGCATTATCAATAGAAAACATCAAAAGACGCAGAGTGAAAATAATATGGTTATTTTGGTTGATTTGCAACTTTCAGTAGTTACAATAATGACTCGAGCAAAATAATTAAAAAGAACTTGTGCATATAATTTTAAATTTATTTAAAATGAATTTTAGTTCATTATTGTGGTGTGGTGTTGTTCAAATGAATAAGAAAGAAAAAAAGCAAAGGTCACTTTGTATGTAAATTGAAGAAGCCAGCATATAAATATTCTCCTTTAGCATCTTTATAGGGTTAATGCCCTCAAGCTTATATATTAACAGGCTGTCTCACTTTTTAAAAAGCTAATTATAAGTTAAAATAATAAGCAATTTGTTATTTCAATGAAAATAGTAATTAAAATAAAGCTACAAACACCAAACCCTAAACCATATGTGCCTATTTTAGATTAGATGATCATATATTCTTGTTTAACCAATTAATTAACCCTAATGTGAGTTGTGATGTTTCCAACCAAAGACTAATAATATAGTTTATTATTGAATTAGTGACCCTCCAATTATTTGATGCTTTCATCTTATCTTTCTCCATTGATCCTTAAGTCAATTTGTCCCACAAAAATTTGTTGAACTATATATATATATATATACAAATTTTTATCAAATTTGATACATAACTTATTGGTGGAAAACAATGAATTTGCTTTTGAAGTATTTAATGATTTAATATATTTTTTATATACAACATAAACTATCAAGTTATTTGAACTCTAGCAAATGTTGCAAAATATTCATTCGAACCCAACTCAAACAAAAATTTGAAACCATTTCCACTATTTAGCCCGAGCCACATTATTTTTATAAGAATGTATTTTTAAATAATGTATTGATGAAAAATGAATGGTTAAAATTAAGAAAATTTTTTGAATTTATTTGTAATATTATTTTATTGAAAAATGTGTAGTTGAAATGATATTAAATTACTGTTAAAGAATACATTTTTTGAAAAGAACATGGGTTCAGGGTGTTAGAGAATGTTACATCTTATCAAACTTCAAATTTAAAAATACAATATATGAGACTTGCTATTTTTATTAACTTTTCAACCACATATTTTATTAATATTTATTAAAATCTATTAAAATTTTTATTGAAAAGTTAAAGACTTTGTCAAGCAGCCAGAACTAAATAATAGAAAAATGAAATATTGGTGGGGAAAAAAAAGAAAAAAGAAAAATAGTAATCAAAACAGAAGTCAGGAGTAACGGAGACAGATACGCACATGTGAATGGGCCCCACCCACCACATGGCCCAAAAAGCCACTGCCACACTTTTATTAAAAAAAAGAAAAGCCATTAATTGTTTGCTCTAACACTGACTGCCATCATTCCATTTAAGCCTCCGCCTGCTCTCCCTTAATCCCCTTAAAGCCTCCTCTTTCACTCATCCTCGCCGTTTCTCCTCCTCCATCACCACCGCCGCCGTTATATATACACGCATATATCAATAAATTTCTTTGGATATTGCAGTGAATCAATCAAATACAAGACAGAGTTTTTCAAGTTCTTAAAGGTGATGATTCGCGTGAAGTTTTTAACATCAGCATGAAAAATATCAATTCATATTTGTATTATTGTTGTATCTTTTCCGTTAGTACTGTTCTGAATAATGTGTCAGATTCATTTTCGAGTTATTGCTTTATCTTTTTGTTTTTTTTGTTTTTTTATTGATGCTGAAGTATAAACCATAGAGCGTACAAATGAGACCTCAAATTAAAATTTATTTGATCCTGAAACTCTAATTCTATGCGTAGCAGGAGGCTTTTGTTGAATCAACTAGTTCTTTTAATTTCTTGTTATTAGTTCCTGATGCGATGTATTGACAGAAATTGCGTAATACTTTTTTGTAGCGCGGTTGCTCAACCATAAATTATCTGTTTATTTATTGCTAATTTTTAATTATCGATTATCAATCGCATTAAATTTCATTCCTTTACGAGATGCATTCTTCGAATTTGAATCTACCATTACTTTCGATTCTAACTCAGTATTTATCCTTTCAATTGAATCTATAGGTTCTATTTCCGTACCTGAACAAATATATACATAGAGATGGATGTAGAAATGACTCCATCGCTGCCTTCAAATCCTGTGGTGAGTTCCGAGAGATCATCGATTCGAAGAAAGAGGAAGAAGAAAATCCAAAGCCAAATCCATGGAGGTAATTTGAATGATAATCAGAATCAAAATTCTGTAATTGAATGGAAATCCGAATCTCAGCAACAAGTTTATTCATCAAAGCTGCTTCAAGCGCTGCGCCACGTCCGACACAACGGCTTACAAGCTCAAACCACCACTCCTAAGGGCGGCCGAGCTGTACGTGAAGCGGCGGATAGAGTACTAGCCACCACCGCCAAAGGCCGCTCACGATGGAGCCGCGCGATTCTCACGAATCGGCTCAAGCTCAAGTTTCTCAAGAAGAATAACATCACAAAACGGCAGAGAAATGTGATGGTGGTTACCACAGGGAAAAGCCGGCCGCAGAAGAAAACAAAAGTGAGCGTATTCCGTTTGAAATCGAAGAGTTTACCGGCGGTACACCGGAAAGTTCGCGTTCTTGGCCGATTGGTTCCCGGTTGCCGAAAAGAGCCTTTGCCGGTGATTTTAGAGGAGGCTACTGATTATATAGCCGCTCTTGAAATGCAAGTCCGAGCCATGAGCGCTTTGACGGAGCTGCTTTCTGTTGCCAGCGGCTCTTCTTCTTCTTCCAGCGCCGCTGCGGCTTCTGGTGGTCCGATTGATCAGCCTGGCTCGAGTCAGTCTCGCCCTAGCTAAAATTGGTTCTTTACGTTTTTTTTATTATTTCAAAAATATTATCCGTCCTTATGAATATTCCACTGTGAATTCATTCAAACAAAACAAAAAATAAAAATAAAATTTCTACTGTGAATTATATTTCCTTTTTCTTGAAAATAATTTGTGATATAATTCTGCATTAGTTATAATATAATTCGGTAATTGAATGGGTTTGGTGCAAGGAATCAAGGTCACAATCTTCTTTATTCAAGTGGTGGGGATCTTTTGCATTTTGCTCTTTTGTCCCTTGGAATATTTGAGTTTTAAATCTTTTCTCCGTATTCTACCATGTTGAGTTTCTTGAATGACCCCCTCTTAAGGTAATAAAGAGTAACCAATTGACTTTATTTTTGCGTGGATACAAAGAGGTCAGATAATTCTTTGCTTTCTTTAGAATTTATCAACGACAACAGATTACCATGATATTGTTTCTATAGTCATAGATCTATCGAGTTAATAGAATTGAGAGATACCACGTCAAATTCATCATCAATTTTAAAATTTGACAATCTCTTTATCTTGTACTCCAAATGACTCATTTACTAAAATTCAAAGAAATAAATTTACATACGTAAGAATCTTACATGTCATATTTCAAACTAAAATATTCCAAGGACTATTTACACTAAAACAACGAGCTAAAATGTTATAGATCACACCCTACCGAGATGGTCTAAGATCATTGGATACACACCGACTCCATCTAATCATTGCATTGAGGTCGGGTTAAAACTATAAAAGATTATAAGTGTTAGATGGTGTGACTGCAATTTGTCCTGCTCGACAATTAGATAAAGAAGTGTAATGATGTGATGTGCAAAATGTGAGTGGTATCATACCATTCACTCCCACAACATTTTCTTGTGTTTCATTCAGTGCAGGGTACACTAAGAAATTGAAAAACAAAAGATAGTGCATGTGCCTTTATAGACTACACTACACATGAGGGAGATGATTGTGGATCCATATATAAAATCTTTTAATTTATTTGGATGGATGTTTTACTATAATCTAGTAATAGTGTTAGAGGTAATTAGGAACCTCAGCTGTTTTTAAAAAATAATTATGTAAGTGTAAAAATCCGAATAAACAAGAAGAGTGGTGGTATGTCGATAATTAAGGTAAAATTGTGTCAACTATTATTGGAGATGTGTGAAACTAGTCGTGATTCTTTACTTCTAGGTTCAATTCTTCTTAGCATGAGATTTGGCGATTTTAAGCCCCTATTTGATTTTGTTGAAAAATTGGTAAAAATTTAAATTAAATTCAATAATTAATTTTAATTATATATTTTATGAAATTCACAACTTTTCAACCATACATTTTTTATCAACTTTGATCAAAATCTACTAAAATTTTAATTTTAAATAAACTAAACAAGGACTAAGTGGGTGCTTTCACCTCACATGCTCAATTTTGAAAGGACAAAATAGTCCAAAAATTCAATCCATTTATCACTCAATTTTTTTGAATAGGAAACAAAACTAAAAGAAGAATAAAGGATACAAAGTGAAAAGAAAAATATTCATCTGATTGCTAATGTGGACAGCTCCAAAAAAATAATAAAATAACAAATAATTAAATAAATCAATCCAAATGACACTAAGCCCCCATTTGGCCCTCATTTTGTGGAAATGAAAACGGGTGGAATAATATTTTTTTGAAAAATGAGTGATTGAAAAAGAAGGAAAAGTTTTCGATTTACGTGTAATATTATTTTATAGAAAATTGTGTGGTTAAAAATAGAAGAGAGAAAGATGAAATGGAATGGAATGGAAATTAATGGGAGCCAAACGAAGACTAAATACCATTCAATGAAAAGTACAATTAAATGGATGCATAATTTCACATTTAATTGAACATATCACATAATTCAAATAGACTGATATTTTAGCATCACTTATGCTATATATCATTATTTTTGTTGATAATAAGGTACATTAAATAGAGGTATATTAGAAAATTAAGATGATGCTATGCCTTGAAAACAAAAAAGTGACCTATAATTTGAGACAAATAAAAAAAAAGAAAATAAGCATACCTTTGTGAGATGAAAGGAGTAGTGATTTATTTCCTTTTTCAACGCATGGAAAATTTTACATCGTGGATTTTGATAATTAAATCCATAGGTTTGGTCCAAATGCATGAAAGTTGACTTAAGCTCAATGGCAAAATCAAAGTTTATTTGTACCATCCTAGTTCACATTTGCATTTTC